GTTTAATCTTCTCTTTTAGAATTTTACGCATCCATCTATCCAGTTGAATATAATCTGATTAATAAAACTCATACCCTTAGGATGCCTGTGTTTATTTTACAGAAAAATGGTCTTTTGAAATGCTCATACTGCAAGAGAATAGTATAGAAAATGTATCCTGAAGTTATGCAAACACATAGCTATACATCATAAAAGTAAAATCATTAGGTGAAAACTCAGAATTACAAGAGAGATACAGAATTGGTTCTTTGTGTATACAGCTAACTGCATGTGCACACAACTGCATTAAGATATCCGAGCATTCAGCTATATTTTCCAAGCAACTGCCGTAACCAGATGTCATCTACTACTGAACACAATTCGATAAGCAATTACTTTTCAGCAGTAGCAATGCCAGCAGAAACAGCCTGCCCTTACCTCCAGTTCCCTGCCACACGTTCCCTTCTCCCAGGCCACCTTCTCAGCCCTGACACAGCAGCCACACAGTCAGACAGATGAGAGTTAAAAGTAATCGATAACCAAAGAAAAAAAGGACACTTTTGAAACTGTGGCAGTTCCTCGATGCAGTTTGCCACCAGCCTCACAAATGTACTAGTACATCTCAGAGGGTGGCAGGGGTCTGCTTACGCAAGCACGGTTGTCTAAGGGAACACATGCCAAATTTCTCCCTGAGGAAGCAATTGTGCTTGCATCAAAACATCTGAAAAATCTTCCCCCCCTGTGCCCAGTCCGTAGGATCTTGGCCTGGGAGTATGGATCTGAAAGACATCCCTAGGGGGTCTCCTAGTGAGCCTCCTCGCAGTTGTGGGCAAGAACCAACCCAGAAAATCCAGTCAGTCAGATCTTCTGTAGCAAGCCACTTGTTAGGTAAATGAAATACAGCTTGAAGGTGATGTGAATATGCAAGTTGGAGGAAAAGAAGGTTCCTGAGGTTTCCCCCCTTTACACATCAGCTAAATCAATACCGATAAAGGTTTGTAAAATTAAGTTACACACTGTGTTATACTGTCTGTCATCATGACTTTCCAACCTGAGTTTAATGATTAAACTTTAAAAGTATTAACATGGAAACCCCAAGGGAAGCCCTGAGAAACCTCCCATTAAAATACAGCTTGTTACACTGTTGCAAGTGACAGAAAAGTAAAAATTAAATGTAATGCGAGTGAAAAATATGAAGCAAAACTACATAATGAGCTACATATAGCTAAAAAAATATATGAGAGAATACAGTAAGAGCTAATGATTTGAGGTAATAATACAACCCTATCTGAGGCATAGTAGAATCACTCTGAGCAAAATGCAATCCTGTTTCACTTCATTAAGTTTCACGTTATCCTCCAATTTCCCAGCACTAACGGAAATGTTTCCTCCTTGCACTGCAGGAACCGACTTAGAACAACAAACAGACTCAGTTACCCCAACCAGCTTGTTAACTTAATGAAATCAATTTAGACAGAAGGCTACCACACAAACCCAGATTCATCCCAAGTACTGTGTCTTTTGCCTTTTTTTTTTTTTTTTTTAATTGAACAGTTTCCTGAACTTCGTCAGCCTGCCTGTGACGTATGCCTACAGTACCACCTGGCCTAAGTGTATTTTTTCACACCTGGTTAAAACCTGCAAAGGACTAAGTATTCTGGAAATAAATTATGCTAATATCCCAGGAAAACGTATCGAGGCCGTTCAGGACAGGGATCACTGCGATTAGCCACTTTCCCAGGTAACTATTTCTGTGGAAGGCCGCAGACGAGCTCTTCCAGCCTGTCCCTGAGCAGTCTGCACCTCAGTTTTCAGAGCTCTTTTGGGAGCCACTTGCACACCCCACCAGGGCCGCAGCCTGCACAAGAGAAGTCTCGGTGCAGCCCGGAGGGTCCCCGTACACATGACAGGGTGCGTGCAGCCAAGCCTGGCGCTGCCATCTCTTTCAGTTATCAGCCGACTCGAAACAGGTATATTTTTTCTGCTTATGCAACAGGAAAAAAAAAAAAAAAAAGTAATTAAGTTTT